AGACAATTATCACAAAGACAATAATCTAACAAACAACTCCTACTAGTGGGCCGACATTGTGGCCTTAGACCCACTTCTACTGGAAGGTAACTCACCTCATACCGCTGAAGCTCGCTGCCCGAACTCCCTAGCTGCTGTCCTGACGGCTTCCCAAGCTAACAATTTCCAACACAAAATCCTGTTAGCAACTAAGTTCTAAACCATGAACCATAATCCAAATCTTGGGGTAAAATGACCATTTTATCCCTGGCCCAATAACACTCATAACTAAGGCCCAAGTCCAAAACCAATAAGGTCCAAAACCATAAAGTCCATAAAAGCCCTATATATGGCCTAATTTCCAATTGGGCCTAGACCCTTACCTGAAACTACCCTTTTTAAACCCATTTTGTACTTCATAACCCTAAAGGGGTCAACTTTGGTCAAAGTCAACATTATGGTCAAAGTCAACATTCGGGTTGACTCAACTCGCCGAGTTGGTCCATCAACTCGTCGAGTCCTATGATCTATAAATCTTGAAATCGCGATCCAACTCGTCGAGTCATTCCTCAGACTCGTCGAGTTCTTCCATGTAGCAGAATCAGGACAAACCAGAACAACTCGTCGAGTTCTTCCTTGCACTCGACGAGTTCCTCAGTCTTCAAAACTCGGAGAACCTTATCCACTCACTGAGTCATCTCCTAGACTCACTGGTTTGCTCCGGAGTCAGAAAAGTAGGGAATCACGATCCAAATCGCCGAGTTGCATGAGCAACTCGTCGAGTTCCTCTTAGTCCTCACTCATTCAGTCGATTCTAATGCTTCTAAATCATAGATTGGTTCCTTAGGGCTAGCATAACACGTAAAATTGCTAACTTTACGTCCTTACATGGTGTTATGAGCTAGAAACACCAAGAACCAAGCTAAAAAGGAGATCTAGGGCATGGAGAAAGGCCACAGGCTAATAAAGCTGGCAACTTTGAGCTTCATGAGTTCATATGTGCCTAGATCTGAAGTCACAACTCCATAATACACTCAAATCCCGACAATGACTTCAAAATGGCCCAAAAGTGACAACATACTATCCTAAATGAGGATCTAAGTGAAAGAAAGCCAATGTATAAGCTTTATACCTTAAATGAGTCCGAAGTATAGCTTGAACTCTGGATCTACGGACTTCCTCTTGAATCTCTAAGCTTTTCCTTCCTTCCAAGCTTCAAAATCACAAAGAATAGCTAAAAACTCTTCAAAAACGGATTAGGGTTTCTTAGCTAGGGTTTATGACGATGGAGGCAACAAATGAGGCCAACAAGTGGAGAATAGGATGCTTAAATAGGGTGCAAAACCCCGAAATTAGGGTTTCATTCTCCAGTTCCAACTCGTCGAGTTGTTCCTCCCCAACTCATCGAGTAGGTTTCTCAACCCGCGTCCAAACTTATTCCCATGTCTACTCGACGAGTTTGGGGCCTCCAACTCGTCGAGTCCCTTTGAAAAAATGAAAATTCTTATTTAAAATACCTACCAGGAACCGGGCGCTACAACCACTATAGACAAAATATTAGTAGAATTCATGATTTTCTATACCAAATTCATGACAAACTATTTTGAATAATACGATGATAATATTAATAAAATTTGTCTTGATAATTAGTATATTTTAATATATAAGTAAATAAACATAAAATACATCACCCACCATTTCCAAACTTAATACATTTATGGATTTGAATAATCTTTTCTCCAGGTCATATAGAACCCATCTTCTTTGATGATCCATATACAATGCTTTTCGTTGCAGTATCTTCTAGATATCCCAAAAATAAAAACATTAAAGATTGCAGTTTTTGATTTCAAATAGAAATGAGCAACAAATTGAGTCGCCTGATCAATTCTCATGCAAAACTGCCAATGTTTTCAGCGTTAAATGCAAGTGTAGTATTTCCAAGATCATTGTCTTTTGATAGAACATGAACGTTGATGGAATCGTTAATCCTGCTGAGGATAAACACGTTCCACGGACCACCCTAATAACATTTCGACTTGGATGTCAGTTTAGGTAATGAAGATGTAGCCGTAGATGCATATGTTGTGATCATTATCTCTTAATCATGATAGATCTTCATCAACTCGAGTTCCAATAATCTCATGAACTTAATCTGCAACTCCTTCTGACCCATTGTGATGAAACTAACACATCAATCTGATTGTCGTTCCTCCAAGAAGGATACTCGGTTCACCCAAGGGCCCACTCTTATGATGGCTGACAACCTAAATCCAGCTCAACAAGATGTGTTTCCAATCATGCTTCTCGGTATGCAAATGGCATATAACGATCCTTGAAATAATAATCAGGCAAACACAGAGAAACTAAATCGAAAATAGCATCTCGCAAATACGAATTCGACCCAGAAGCATATACATAAATAAATGAAATAGCATGAAGAAAACGAAAATGGAACATACACGTGATAGCATCTGATGAAACTTTGGCATCCCCTGCCTGCACCTACAATTCTAGGCTTTTCCCTGCTGGAGCATCTGCTCTACCCCCGCGGCCATCAGTAATCCTCAAAGTAACTGGAGTAGGTGCACTCACTGCTGCACTCAACAACCTCAGACAATTGGCCTTCTTGTGGCCTACTTGATTGCAGTGAAAACACATCGAAATCGAGCCTCGAGGATAATCCATGCTAAAATGAGCAGTCTGACCACAACTGAAACAACCCCTTCCTTTCTCACGACACCTTCCCTCGTGGGTCCTCCCACACTTGGCACAACGGCCCCGATCCTGATGGCCTCCCAATCGAAAATCCTGAATCTTGGGCCTCTTCGCCTGAACCACTGCGGTCTGAATCTGCTTCGGTCCGCGCTTCAACCAAAGCTGCAACTCAATCTCCCGTTATCGGGCTCTACCAATCATGTCCTCCAACGTCTTGCAACTGGGCATGCTCACAAATTCCCTAATGTCGTCTCGCAACATATCATGGTACCTCGTCTTCTTCATCTCCTCATCTGCAGCGTATTGCGGAACCAATAAAGCCCTCTCCCTGAATTTGGTAGTGATCTCTACTACAGTCTCATTCGTCTGGTGAAGGTCCTGAAACTCCCTCGCCAACTGTTGCACCTCGATAGCTGGTGCAAACTCCGCCGTAAACCGGGTCACAAACTCATCCCAAGTCATCGTCTCAATGGCCTCGCCTCCCAAAGCGAAATCTACTTCCTCCCACCAGTCACAAGCTCTGTCTTTCAGAAGACAGGATGCAAATCTAACCTTCGACCCTTCGGGGCAGAAGCTCGTCCGGAAAGCGTTCATCATGTCCGTTAACCACCTCTTACTAGCAACGGGGGTCCTTCTCCCCAAAGAACTCAAGAGCTCCACAAGCACGGAAATCGCAGAAACAAGAGTGCGAGCTCCCACAATAGCCATAATCTCAATGTGGAACGTACCCATACGCTTGTCCAAAATCTCCATAATCCCCTCCTTGACCGTACCGAAGATCACAGGAGTCTGGTCCAAAATACCATGGGTTATCTCCGATGAGATGAACTCCTGCATCCGCTCATTCATCAGCTCAGTGCTAGCACCTGAGCCCGAACTACAACATGAACCTCCACCACGAGTGCTTGTCATCATTCTAAAAAAGCAACCATACAAAAATCAGATCATACCCAAAGAATCCTCATCCTACAGGCTTCCTAGAATCTCTGTGACTTTCCTTGATTCGAGTATGGATCTTGTGCTTTCAGTAATACGCGCCCAATACTACCTTCCACAACTATCTATACTTTCCTCAAGAATCATCATGAATCCTCTAAGTTACCTTCTCAAATTAGTACTCCAAGTACTCGCTAAACAACGTATCCATACCCACTAAAACACTTCATAGTCTCCCATAGGTTCCAACCTCACCCCGCCACCAGCTGCTGAAGAACTCCCACTTATGTCAGTTAACTACTTCATGAATACAATTACACACAACAAAAGATAATCATTCGAGTAACAGACTCAACCCTACAACGGTTGGACTCAAACAAGAGTTGTGCAGTAGGGCCAAATCAATCACTCTGAGATTATTTAACCTTTGCAGCATGTAAGTTAACGCATTCACTTAATAGTTAACTCACATCTATAAGAGTTCCACAAAGCACAAAGCAAGCAACATTCATGCAATAACACTCCAAACCATAAATTAATCAAAAAGGCAATCTCAGCTCGCTCGCTACTACCATGCTAGGAACTTCTACTAACACTGCCGGTTGCCTTATGCATGCAAATCAAAAAGGCATCTCATCCTCTTGGTATTAACCTATGGAGATATTAAATCTCCAAATACTTTATTTATTGCCGTCTCAAAGTGCACAAACATACAACAATTCAACAAAATGGTGAAGAACAACAAGAACAAAGCACAAAAATCTACTTCATACAAACCATATAAAGAGCAAAAAAAAACATGACTGAAACACAAAATGCATACAAAATTGAGCAACAAGAACACGATTCAAACATCAATTTCGAGAGGCGATGGGGGAGATGACGAAGACAGATATGGAGCAGTGCTGCCGAAAGTTGAAAGGGGGAGGCGCCGATGAAATTGGAGGCTAGCAAGGAAGTTGTCATCGCCTGGAGAAGAGGGAGAATGAGGGAGGAGCGCTCGATGTATAGGAAGTGGGTGAAAGAGAAAATGACGGACATGTTTTTTAGGGCAAGAGTATCCCATTGAATTCTTTTCATCCAGACTCCTCCATATCTCTCTCCGATTCCGACCATTTTTTGCTACATCTGACCGATTAAGAGGCTAAAAATGTTTCAACCAACGTTCTGAATTTGAACGATCCAGAGGCAACCTCTTTATGAGATTTTCCAGAGCCAACCTCTTTATGAGATCATTAACAGCCAAACTAAAAGCCCGAAGTACTAAAGTTTAAACGAGTCAAGCTTTAACTTAGTTAGGCCCATTTGCTAATAGGCTCATTTTGCATATTATCTCGTTTGCCTTTTCTATCCTAGAAATACAAACCGGTCCTTGTCGGTTTTCAAGCCTAAACCCTAAACCCCAAAATATGGCGGTCTTTTCTCATCTCCGGCGAGCCCTACTCAGATCGCCACCGATTATTCCGGCATCACGTCGCTTCAGAACTGTAGCAGCGCCGTACCACGCCGTTCAAACAAAAAACTACTCAACCGCCTTTACCAAACCGGAAGATCAGAAGACCGAGAACAGGAAAGGGAAGTGGTTAACTTTGCCGCCTTTCAATATGACCGTTAACGGTGCTTCGTTGGGGAAAGATATTTCCGGAAGACGGCAATTAACGAGTGAAGAAGATGCAAGCACCACGACAGCGCTCAAATGGGTAACGCGGTGCTGCCCGCAGCTCCCGAGGTCTCTTGTTCAAAAGCTCTTCCGCTTGAGACAGGTATCAGATTTCTACTAAAGCATAATGTCTTGATGTTTATAGACATTAGATTACTTTTTGTTATAATCTTCTGCACTAATACCAAGTTAACATCATGTCAATTGAAAGCTAATTCGATGTGCTGTAATGATATGATGCAGATACGACGCGAAACTTCTGAAGATTCAAATTCTGATCAGGATGCTCAAGCTCCAGGATCCCGAATCAAAAGGGTAAAAAATTAACTTGTTCCCTAATTCTAATTGGATTCAACAGTGTCCATTTATAAACAAATCTTCATCTTACTTGATATATTTCCTCAGGTGTCAGCCAAAGACTCAATGAAACCTGGAGATACCATTTATCTTCCTATCACAGTACAATCATTACCAACTGAGAAACCAGAGTGCCATTGCAGTGAAGAAGAAATAAAGTTTCTTCATGATCTTGAGTTATATAAGGTTCTTAAAGAACACCTTTTTCACAATATATTTTCACTTCAACTTGATAGATGATCATGTTTCCTCTGTACTTAACTATTCAGGATTCAGCAATTATAGTCATCAATAAACCTCCTGGAATGCCTGTTCAAGTAAGTTATTACTATATTAGCTATTCACATCTTTATTAGGTTTTTCTGCATATATTATCATATTTCCAAATGCTGATTACAGTTATAAATTACAGGGTGGAATTGGAATAAAAAGAAGCTTAGATGAATTAGCTGGAACTTATTTGAGACATGACTTCTCTGAACCACCTAGGCTGGTGAGTTCTTTTCCAACTTTACATGTCCTTTTAATAAATAATAACTAATTAACTATAAACAACATATCTCTTCATAGTTTATACCATTATAGACGACCAATTTACATTTTCTTTTAACTGTTTAGGGCAGTTTGCAACTTGAAAATCTATGTGATCGTTTAATTCACATAAGTTTTTTTTAAAGAAAGATGATGTTTTTTATTTTTATCATTTTATATAATGAAAATGATTTTGTTCCAGGGCTTAATAGTAATTTATTAGGTGCACAGGCTTGATAGAGATAGTAGTGGAATTTTGGTGTTGGGGAGAACACAACTCAGTGCTACTGTTCTTCATTCTGTATTCCGTGAGAAAACTTCTGTTGCTTCCAATATGGTAAAGTAATTAACTTTTTGTTTCTTTTTTTTTTTATCTGTAAAAGTTTGATAAATTGCTTTACTTGGTTTCCATCTTTTTAACTAATAATTATTTTTTCTATTTTGTAAATAGGATTTGAAGAGTGAAAAAAGAATCCTTCAAAGAAAGTATTGGGCACTTGTTCTTGGAACTCCAAGGCGTCCTCAAGGTTTAATCTCAGTTCCTCTTGGAAAGGTTAGAATTAATAGCTTTTTTGTATTTAGTAATTGAAGAAGGGAATGGAATGGAGCATTCCGGTTCCGGACTTGAATGGAGGATTCCTCATGAAATCTGATTCCTTCTCGTTGGCTGATTTGAATGATTTTTGTTAAGTCTATTGATGAATACATAATAATTAAATTTCTTTTTTGTGTGTAGGTGGTTATGGATGATGGAAGATCAGAACGGATTACAATTGTTGAAAATGTCACAACAATGCAATCACAACACGCCATTACAGAATATCGAGTTCTTGATTCCTCTACTCATGGTTTCTTCTTTATTTATACATTTTTTTTCTTCCTAATTAATACAACAAAGTAGTTTTTAGATCAAATATGCAATAAAATGGTTTTTCTTTTTTTTTTTGGACAAAATATGCAACTTTTATATGTATAACATGTTTGACCAGTTGAAACCTGGTTGCATGAATCCATATTTTCCATTTCATTTTTTATCTAAAATTTGTTCATATATTTTTTTCCAAATACGAAATTTTTATTAGATATAAAAATTATTTTACATAAAATATCAATATAATAAGGATTAAAAGGTTTTTAATGAAACACGATTACATAAAATTAGTGTCGAAAACAATTTTATTCATAAACACTAAATTTATTTATTTTTTATTTAAAATTATTTAAGGTCTTACATGGTTAGAGTTATCTCCACTCACCGGTAGAAAACATCAGGTATTCATCACTACTTTTTATTTCTTCAGGATCCAACAAGCTTTCTAGGCCTATTTCTGATCATGAGGAGGGCATTTATGTCTTTTGCACATGATAGATCAAAACTAAGTCCCTTTCTAACTTTGTCCTGCCTTTTTGGGTGGCACAAAAAACGGTCTGAATCCAATGCACGCCAAACGTAGGAGGGCATTTATGTCTTTTGCTCAGTCCGACCTTTTTGGGTGTCATAAAAAGCTGCAACTTTTGTCTCATTTCACATCATGAGGAGGGCATTTATGTCTTTTGCACAAAAGCAAGTCTCTAACCACTTTTTCCACCTTTTTGGGTGACACAAAAAGCTGCAACTTTTTGTCCTATTCACATCAGTCTTAGTCTAATCGCAGTGAAACCTGTTTTGTTTTGTTCTGTCCCGTCCTAATGTTTTTCTTTCTCTGCTTGATGCTTTGAAAACAAAGTTGCGGGTCCATTGTGCGGAGGTATTGGGAACGCCGATAGTTGGGGACTACAAATACGGGTGGCAAGCACACAAGAAATGGAAACAAATATTTTCATCCGATCATGAAGAAAAAATCAAAGTTTGTAACAAGAATTTACTTCCATTTGGGCTTGATTTAGAAAGTGGGAGCATTTCCGATAAGCAACCGAACCTTCATTTGCATTGTAAAAAAATGGTTTTACCCGATGTATCCTCCGCGTTAAAGCGGGCCCACGTTTCTTGTTCGGATCATGATTTTGGGGATATTAAAAGCCTCAAGTTTGGTGCTCCTTTGCCTCCACATATGCAAACAAGTTGGGACATTTTGTGTAAATGACTTATTTACACCTTACAAATTCCAACAACTTTATCAACATAGTTTTGAGGATTATTTGTGATTTCGTTTCTTTTGAATTTATAAATGGTGGTTGAAATGAAATCATTTTTATATCTACTATTTGTGTATACTTTCATTGTCTTGATTTTGTACTTTAAAATGTTTCTATTATCCTAATTTTTTTGAATTGTCTTGAAAGTTGAAATTTTAAAAACCGTTTATTGGTTGAATCGGGCTATGAGATCCAAGTCCAATACACCAGTTCAAACAGTTTTTTACTGGTTCTATAACACCGGTTAAACTCTGTTTTGGAGAAACTGTCTGGTTTAGAAATTGACATAAAACCAATGATAGTTGAACTGCTTTCTTTTCTGGTTTCCGGTTCGAATCGGTTTTAAATCATTGGAAAATATATTCATATTGAAAGAAGTGTGGGTTACAAGTGATGATGTGAGTGTCGAACTAAAAAGACAAAATACATGATTGATGATCGAAGATTAGAAATTAAGAAAATTATATTTAATAGAATTTGCAATTAATGATTATGGAATTTGTGATTAAAGATTTGAGGTTTTTAAGTTTAAGATTTCAGGATTTTATAAGCTAAACTCTTAATGTGTTGGTTAATATCAAAATGGAAGTGATTTTTGTATAATATTTTTGGTTATATGTAATTATTTATGTTTTAAAAGATTGTATTGTATTGTGCGGCTAAAAAGTAATATTATTTTATGAGTTTTTTTTCCTTCCTATGAATGTGCTTTAATGAATTTTTTATGTTATTTGACACATTCTCAACTTCTTTGGAAGGTTCGACCTTGAATTCAATTTTTTTTTTCCATATTCATGATGATTTTTTTTCTTTCTTTTTGGGCTTTAATGGACGACTATATTGTTCTTGTTTGTTGTTGAGGACTTGAAGACTTGAGGTCATCAAATTGCCTCCAACTGTTTGACGGGTTGTTGAGTTGCTCCATTTCTTACATTTTTATTTGAATTTGTGGTATTTTTTGCAGAATCGCTAGCAACCCATTTCTCTTTTTTACTAGCACTTTTGTAATTTATTTGGTATTTGGTAGGGTTGATTCCCTTTGGTACTTAAATCGTTTTTGGTTTTCAAAATATGAAACCAAACGGCGCAAATTAAATTAAAATAAGATATTAACGAAATAAAAGCGAAATGAAAAATACTTCAGCAAAATAAGAGGTTGTTTGGTTCACCGAAACTTTAAGGAATTGGGAAAATTAGATTCCGATTCAACCATGTTTGTATATTTGATTCAGCTTTTGCTAAGGAATTAAATTCCCAAATGAAAAAAAAAACTTTGCATCAATGGTATAAGGATATGATTTGTGAATCTCCAATAATCGAGTATTGTATATTGCACTATATATATAGTTTACAGAGTACAAGATATCAAAATTTTAAATACAACAAGATAATCTTATCAAGTAGAGATAGATAAGTTCTTGGGTGTTGATAAGATAGACTTATCGTTAATACCCCCCGTCAAGCTGGAAGGTGGTGGTCCAACACACAGCTTGGAGCGAAAGTATTCAAAGAGAGGACGAGGAAGGCTTTTGGTAAAAAGATCTGCCACCATCTGTGTAGTAGGAATGAACCGAGTGTGCAATTTGCCAGATAGTCAAGATCAATGTGTTTAGCACGTTTATGAGCAACCGGGTTTTGACTAAGAAAAATTGCACTCTTGTTGTCTGAATATAATAAAGGCAGTGAAGAAATAGGGATATGAAGCTCACGTAAGAGATGAGTAATCCAAATAACTTCAGATGCCGTGTTTGCCATAGCTCGATATTCGGACTCACAACTCGAACGAGACACAGTAGGTTGCTTTTTAGCACTCCAAGAGACAAGATTACCACCAAGAAAGATCGAATAACCATACGTGGAGCGTCGAGTGTCAGTGCATCGAGCCCAATCTGCATCAGAGTAAGCAACAAGAGGAATAGTGGGTGACCGCTTGTAAGTAAGACCATATGCCACAGTGCCCCTTACATACCGTAGGATGCGTTTTACAGCTTGGAAGTGAGCCATGGTTGGTGCGTGCAGGAATTGACTGACCTGGTTGACAGCATAAGAAAGGTCAGGGCGAGTAATCGTTAAATACTGTAAGGCACCAACCAAAGAGCGATAGAGAGTTGGATCATGAAATGGTTCTCCAGAAGCAATAAGTGGTTCAGATGTGGCAAGAGGAGTGTAAACCGGTTTCCCATCCAATAAACCGGCATGAGCTAGTATATCCAGTGCATACTTTGCTTGAGTAAGAAATAATCCATCTGAAGTATAATGCACTTCAATACCCAAGAAATAGCTTAACCGACCCAAATCTTTGATAGCAAATTCTTTATGAAGACGAGTAATAAATGTAGTAATAGTCTCGCTATTGTTACCGGTGAGAATGATATCGTCGACATAAACCAGAAGAAAAAGAAGATGAGAACCTTGCTTAAGCATGAAGAGGGACGGATCAGCACGACTACACGTGAACCCAACTTGAAGGAGAAAGGAGCTAAGACGTTGAAACCAAGCTCTTGGGGCTTGCTTCAAACCATACAAAGCCTTTGTGAGACGACATACATGAGTTGGATAGGTGGAATCAATGAACCCGGGAGGCTGCTCCATGAAAACGGTTTCGCTTAGGTGGCCATTGAGAAAGGCATTGTTGACATCAAGTTGGTGTAGAGGCCAGTTTTGATGTACAACAATAGATAAGATAATACGAACGGTGGAAGCTTTAACAACAAGACTGAAGGTGTGTGAAAAATCGATACCCGAAATTTGATTAAAGCCTTGAGCCACTAAGCGAGCTTTATATCGATCAATAGAACCGTCCGAGCGATACTTAGTGCGAAAGACCCATTTAGAACCGATAATGTTGGAGGCAGTGGTTCGAGGTACAAGATCCCACGTGTCATTATTTTTGAGTGCCTGAAGTTCATCGTGCATAGCCGCTAGCCACTTAGAGTGCTTAGCAGCTGACTTAAATCCTTTAGGATCTTTATGAGTAAGGAGGGCAGCATGCAAAGTACTCGAGTTTAGAGATGAGAAACCCGGAAAAAGACGAGGCTTGGTGATACCAGCCTTTCTGCGAGTAAGAATGGGATGAGCTGATGTGGTTGGAACTGGATGAGTACCTGGAGCGGCATGAACCGGTGAAGCTGGATCCGGATCAGGTACTAAGACATGGGTTTGTGGCTGCTGAATGGGCTATACCAGATCTGGACATAGATGACACGGGCTGGAATGTGGACCCAGCGAAACAGAAGTGGATGGAGTATCAAGGGGATCGGGCTATGAGGTTGGCAGAGACACAGCAACAGGTTCGTCAAAAGTAGAGAGTAACAAGGTAGCATCAGCAAGCTGTGAAGTGTTCCCGGTAAAAGGAAATAATGTCTCATCAAATTTTGCATGACGAGTAGTATAAATTTTTGAGGTGGCCATGTCAAGGCAACGATAGCCTTTATATTGTGTACTATAACCGATAAAAACACACGGGATGCTTCGTGGAGCCAACTTGTGATCCGAGTAGCTTCGTAAATAAGGGAACACACGACAACCAAAGGTACGGAAGACTTGAAAGTTTGGTTGAGTGTGAAAGAGAAGCTCAAATGGTGATTTGTTGTTTAAGACCGGAGACGACAGTCGATTGATGATGTAGACAGCAGAACTAAATGCATCAACCCACAAGGAAGCTGGAGCACTTGCGTTAAAAAGCATTGCAAGCCCTGTTTCAGTAATGTGACGGTGCTTTCGTTCAACCCTACCATTTTGTTCCGGGGTGTAGGGACAGGAAACTCGATGATGAGTGTCGTTGGCAGAAAATATAGCTTGAACTTGATTATTAAGAAACTCTTTCCCACCATCACTCTGAAAAACCTTGAGCTTGCATGAGAATTGTGTTTGAACAAATAACATAAAATGTTTAAGAATGGAAGGGAATTCAGATTTGAGCTTCATAGGGTAAAACCAAGTAAACCTCGAGAAATCATCAACAAAAATAGCATAATACAGATAACCGTTAGTAGAAGCAATGGGTGCAGGGCCCCATAAGTCACAATGTATCATATCCAAAACATGTAAAGAGCGTTTTTCATTGATAGCAAATGGAAGCTTATGGATTTTAGAGAGCTCACCTGAGGAGCAAATACCAGGTTTGGGTAAAAGATAAGTAACATATAAATAACCATGTTTGTGTAATAAAGAAATAACTGAAAATGAAACATGTCCTAGTCTATTGTGCCAAAGCTCGTATGATGCTTGCAGCCGATTCTTAGTCAGTTGAGAAACCAAAGCTTTATGACCATGCTCGAGCACATATAGACCATGTTCAACCCTGCCTGTTGCTAGTACTTCCTTTGTTCGACGCTTCCGAATTGCAAATTTATGATTAGAGAATAAGACATCAACATGAGAATCAGATGTTAACTTTCTTATAGAAAGTAAACTTTTAGTCAAATTTGGAACCACAAGGACATCTGCTAGATTGATATCTTTAGTAATAGAAGCATTACCAATTCGTGAGATGTTTAGAATATTATCGTTTCCAAAGGCCACATGATCGTTTCCGGTATAAGGAGATGATGTGGTTAATTGTTAGGCCGAAGGTGTCATATGGGCAGACACCCCAGAGTCTACATACCAGTCTGAGGCAGGAATATCTTGGGTATTACACTTGGCAGAAAAGGCATGTGCTAAGTGTGCATCAATAGATGGTCCGCGGGTTGCAAATGAAGAGAGATCTGGGCATTGAGAGACGTAATGACCATCTTTGCGACATAGTTAGCAGTGAGGTGGTCTCCGGCACGGCCCCTGCCACCCGATCGAGCCCCACGAGAACCACGAGTATAGGAACCACGACCAGAGGAAGAGGAGTTGCGAGCAGTGTTGGCGTTGAACGACATAGTAGGAGTGTTAGAAGAGTTGTGTACAAATTTTAGGAAGAGTTCATGCCCTTCAGCAGCTGCAAGAAGATCACGAAACAGTAGGCGTGGCTTGACAGCGCAATGAGCAACTGAGAAAGTCTCAAAAGAAGGCCCTAGGCCACATAAAAACCAATGAACTTTATCTGTTTCATCCATTGGTTGCCCAATGGCTGCCAATTGATCACAAATAGACTTGTATTTTCTTCCAAATTCAGAGACAGATAACGAACCTTTTTGAATTTGACGCAAGGAGTCACGAAGATTTTGCATTCTCTCAACGGAATCATGGCTATATGTTGATTCTAGAGTTGTCCAGACTTCTCGTGCAGTGAGAAGACCCAAAATTTCAGCCATGGCTTCCTCAGTAAGTGAAGCTTGAATGATAAGCATGGCACGTTGATCAGCTTCAACCCAAGCAGTGTAGAGAGGATTTGGGGAAGACTTATCTGCAACGAGTGAGGCAGCAGGAGCCACGGATGTCCCATCGATATGGCTGAAAAGGTTTTGATACCGTAGGAGGGGGTGATCTGATTTTTCCACAATAGCTAATTTATGGAGGACAATTTAATTGTCAGCATGTGAAGAATAGTGTTGAGAGTGAGGGAGGCATCAGATGAAGAAGAAGATCCGGTCACCATGATTGAGAGGAAGAAGATGTAGGGCCGGCTGATAGAAGAAAATAGAAGGATCGGAAATCAGGCTGATACCATATAAGGATATGATTTGTGAATCTCCAATAATCCTGGAGTATTGTATATTGCACTATATATATAGTTTACAAAGTACAAGATATCAAAATTTTAAATACAACAAGATAATCTTATCAAGTAGAGATAGATAAGTTCTTGGGTGTTGATAAGATAGACTTATCATTAATAAATGGGAGGAAAGTTACATCAAATGAAAGGAGTTAATTCCAATTAATGAAAAAATGTATAGGATTACTATATTACCCTCTATTACCACCATTACCGCCATTATCATCAACGTCACCCCATCCACCACCCACCACCACCGCCAACGTTGTAGCGATCTCCTTGTTTTAATATGTTATGTAAAAATTGTTGGATTAGGTGTCTAAGCCCATAACTATAATTGGTATGTACTTGAATTGATAGCAGCACAGTCCTTTTGGGTTGCCCTCAACCTAGCAACTGGACAAGGAAATTATGAAAGGAGAGATATTAATTTATAAGATTAATAAATTAATATATATATATATATATATAAATGATTTATTAATATGTTAATGGATTAATATATTAATTAGAAATCATTATGTTTAATTAATTGTTAGCCAGAAATTAATCAGAATTGATTTTGGGGTTAAAAGAATTAATTATAAGGTGCAGGGACTAGTTTGCAATTATCTAATAGTTGAGTGGAAGGCTCTAGAACCCCCTTGGAAGAGGGTGGACGAAATCTTTAGGGGAAACCCTAATAATTTCGTCCATAGGGGCTTGGATAAGGCCTTTGGATTTGCTTAGGCCCTAAGCAAAGGATAACTAGGGTTTCCCTTAAACCCTAGATCCCTCAGCTATATAAGGAGCCTCCTGGTTCATGTTTTTGGTCACTCTTTCTTTTGAAGAAACCCTAAGGCCGAGATTTTGCATACTCCCTCTCCCCTCTCTCTTCTACTTTCCTTCTTGCTAGTTTGGGTGTGATTCCATTAGAGGCATTACACTTGTGGTGCTAAAGCTTCCAAGAAGATCAAGATCAAGATCAAGGGAATATCAATTGTTTGCTATAACAATTGAAAGGTATGTAAACCCTAAACCCTAGTTTGTTAATTTCGAAATTAGCCTCTCTCCTCTAGGGTTCTTGTTTTGCAATTCAAAGTTGTATGTTCAATAGTTAAAACATAGATCCAAAGTAGGTTGCATGTGAACTTAGGAATTGTTTTCTAGTTTATTTGTTGTACCTAAAACCCATCAGTGGTATCAGAGCCAGGTTGTTTTAAATTGAATTGCTACAATTGTTGAATTGCAAATTAGGGTTTATAGCTATTAAACCCTAAAGGCCAATTTTTCGATTTCTAGGGTTTTGGATCAAAGGGTTTTTTCGAAAACCCTAGCCTCCAAAGAACCCTAATCGAAATTAGGGTTAGGGTTTTGAAAACCCTAGCCTCCTCCCTTATGAATTTCGAAATATGCTAAGAGGATAACTAGGGTTTCTTGTTTTTGGATAATTGTTACTTAATTAGATTAATTGGATAATTATCCTTACCCTATTTTTCGAAATTAGAGGGATAAGGATTAGGATTAAATTAATTGATTAATTTAATTAGATAATCCTTACAAGATTTAATAATTTGATTAATAGTTAATTAATAGATAAATATTAAATCTAGTTAATTGGTTTATTTAAATTTGAATTTAATAGCTTAAATTTCGAAATTTATATAAACCCTTGAAGTTTTAAAAAGTTTTAAAACACACCTTATATATATATATTATAATTAAAGGTTTAATATTATATGTATAAGAATATGGTCAGTCAAATCGCTAGTATGCCTCATTCACGAAGCTAATCTATAAGGGGGGTATAAGGAAACTGCCTATAAAATGGTAGTTGAATGGGTGTCCACTCTCACCCACCGCTTCCTTGATTAGTGGAGGGTCGTTAGCAGAACGGATTTGATAGGACAACTACTTCTCATTAAAAGTATAATGATATTAAAAGTACTAGAACATTATTTTCAAAATCCCAACTCTAGTTACTTTAGGAAAAATGTGAAAAGTATGCTAATCCATGAAATTGCACATTATGCTTTATTGGTCGTTAGTGGAGCGTGTGTGGTTAACCAGCACACTAAAAGGCACTAATAAAGAGTAGTAATGGGTATCTCATAATTGTCATTTTGATGGAGCGTGTGTGGTTTACCAGCACATCAATAGTTAATGATAAAGACAATGAGGTTACCAAGCACATTTGCATGGTTATTCACATCTTGTTTGTGATCCTCGGCATCCCAGTCACAAATAGAAGAGCATAATCTGAGATTAAAACATGCCATTGAATAGTTTCAATGTATCTCAAAAGAATTAGGAATTTCACTTCGTTTGTTTCGTCTAATGGTGGAATTGGTGAATCGTCATTCACCTACCTTTATGAAATTTGCACTTGGATCTCGGCATCCCATTTCTGAGTTGTGAATCTTCATAGTTGGATCCTAACCTTGATATTATATCTTTGGGTTATTCTATTAAGGTATCTTGAAATCTAACTAAAACTTTCTTTCTTTTCAGATGTCTACTCCTGGAAACACTTCTGCTTCATCCTCCTCCAACCAGAACTTCTCTTTGCTCAATATATGCTCCAAAGTCGTTATGGATGGCTCAAACTATAACGATTGGATGCGCAACATCAAGATGGCTCTTCGTTTGAGAACAAAGAATATGTTCTTGAAAAGGAGCTCAAAGAGCTTGATGAGAATGAAGCTACTCCTGAAGATCTTGCTGCCTACAAGAAACATTACGATGATGCTACCAAAGTGGCATGCATCATGGTGGCAACTATGTCCCCAGAACTGCAGAGGTACTATGAGGACTACTGGCCTTTCGAGATGAACAAGGACCTTATGGAAAAGTACCATAAGCGAGCTCGTCAAGAAAAGTTCGAAGTAGTCAAGTCACTCATGGCTTGCAAGATGAAAGATGGGGAGTCGGTTGTGTCACATGTGCAAAGAATGCAACGCTACATAGAGCGTTTGGTCAAGCTCAATATTCACTTTGATGAGGAATTGGCCATTGACATGGTTTGAACTCACTTCCTGAATGTTATGGTCAGTTTATTCTAACTTACCATTTGAACAATACTGAGCAGACCTTGGCCCAATTGCACAACTTGTTGCAGACAGCTGAGGCAGGGATGAAGGGTAAAAGTATACCCTCCACACCTACGAGTGCCCCTGTTTTGGCTATTGGACAGGGAAAGGGGAAAAAGAGGAAAGGTCCTCCCAAGCAAAACTGGAAGAGCAAGGCTCAAGCTGGGTCATCTAGTAATGGCCCAAAGGCTAAGCCCAATGGTTCCACTCCCCATGTTTCTGATCCAAAAGAGGCAGTTTGCTTTTACTGCAACCAAAAAGGGCATTGGAAGAGATCTTGCCCACAATATCTGCAAGATATCAAGGATGGCAAAGTGAAGCCATCTTCGGCAGGTATTTACACTATTTCTGCTAATAACTCATTATCTTCTCGTTCATGGGTCCTTGATACAGGATGTGGTTTTCATATCTGTTCTGATTTGCAGGGTCTAAAGGAAAGTGAGGAGATAGAGCGAGGAAGGATAAACCTGATCATGGGAAACAGAAAGTCTTCACCAGTAACCAAGATCGGAGTTTATCAGCTTCTGCTTAGTAATGATGTTAGATTAGATTTAATAAATTGTTGCTATTCGTCTGAGATGACGAGAAACATTATTTCATTTCATGCATTGTTCAGACAAGGTTTTACATATTCTTTTAATGATTTGAATGGTTCAATTTCTGTTTATAAGAATGGTGTTTTTATGTTTGAAGCTTTACCTTGTAATGGTGTGTATGAAACAGTGACTTGTGTTGATAGCCTAGGAAATAGTGTACTTAATATTGACTTGTCTAATAGTGTAGACAAGGCATGCTTGTGGCATTGTCGTCTTGGACACATTAACAAGAAACGCATAGCCCAACTCCAAAAGGATGGAGTGTTGGAATCATTTGACCTAAATCAGATGATATGTGTGAATCTTGTCTTTTGGGAAAGATGACAAAATCACCATTCACAGGGTCTTGTGAAAGAGGTGAAGGTCTGTTGGATCTCATACACACGGATGTGTGTGGGCCCTTCAGATCAACTACAAGAGATGCTAATCGATTCTATGTGACTTTCACTGACGATTATAGCAGATATGGATATATCTACTTGATCAAGCATAAGTCAGAAACTTTTGAAAAGTTCAAAGAGTTTAAGCATGAAGTCGAAAATCAATTGGGCAGAAAGATAAAGATACTTAGATCCGATAGAGGGGGGAGTATCTTAGTATCGAGTTTAACGACTATCTGAAAGAATGTGGGATAGTCTCACAATTGACTCCTCCTAGGACACCACAGTTAAATGGTGTAGCTGAGAGGCGCAATCGAACCTTGTTAGACATGGTTCGTTCTATGATGAGTCGGGCTTCGCTTCCTATTCACTTCTGGGGGTATGCCTTAGAGACAGCCGCCCACATCCTCAATCTTGTCCCTACAAAGAAGGTTGCCAAAACACCTCACGAAATGTGGACAGGGAAAGTTCCCTCGTTAGCACATATTAAAGTCTGGGGTTGTGAAGCTTTCGTAAGACGAGAGACTCACGACAAGCTAGCAGCTAGAAGTGAGAAATGTGTTTTCATTGGTTACCCAAAGCAGTCTTTTGGATATTTGTTCTACAGGCCTAGTGAGAACGTGGTCTTTGTAGCACGAAGAGGAGTCTTTCTTGAAAGAGAGCTCATATTCAAAGAGGACAGTGGGAGCACTATTGACCTTGAAGAAATTCAAGAGTCAGCCAATGAAGGAACCTTAGATGACACTAGCACTCAACCAGAGGAAACAGTTCCTGTTGAACCAATCGATAACTCATTACCTCTTAGAAGATCCACTAGGGTGAGTGTGCCACCTGAGTTGTATGGTTTTCATATTACTTCAGATGGTGACACATTCATAAGTGACAGAACACTGGTAAACTTAGATGAACCAGTCACTTATAAGGAAGCAATGGCAGGCCCAGAGGCTTCCAAGTGGAAAGAGGCAATGGACAGCGAGATTAAGTCCATGTATGACAACCAAGTTTGGAATTTGGTTGATAGTGCACCAGGTCGTAAGACAGTTGGGTGCAAATGGATCTTCAAGAAGAAGACAGACATGGATGGAAATGTGCACACATTCAAGGCTCGACTGGTTGCAAAAGGTTTCACTCAAACCCCAGGGGTTGACTATGATGAGACCTTCTCACCAGTGGCTAAGATTAAATCTATTAGGATATTGCTCGCCATAGCTGCCTTTCATGATTATGAAATCTGGCAGATGGATGTCAAAACTGCTTTCCTTAATGGGAAGTTGGCTGAAGATGTTTACATGAGTCAGCCAGAGGGTTTTGTTGATGCAAAGTTCCCCAATAGAGTGTGCAAGCTTGAGAAATCCATTTATGGATTGAAACAAGCATCTCGCAGTTGGAATCTTTGCTTCCATGAGAAAGTCAAAGAGTTTGGTTTCTCTAGAAGTGAAGATGAGTTCTGTGTGTATATCAAGGCTAGTGGGAGTATAGTAACTTTTCTGGTGTTGTATGTCGATGACATATTACTCATTGGTAACGACGTTCCAACCTTGAAAGAAGTTAAGTCTTGGCTTGGAAAGTGTTTTGCCATGAAAGACCTTGGAGAAGCTGCCTATATTCTTGGGATTAGAATATTGAGAGATAGAAAGAAGAGACTAATTGGACTTAGTCAGAGCACATACTTGGATAAGGTACTAAAGAGGTTTAGTATGGAAAATTCCAAGAAGGGAGAGCTACCTATCCAGAGCAATACCAAATTGAGTAAGACTCAATGCCCGAGTACAGATGTTGAAATAGATGACATGAGTCGTGTACCTTATGCTTCCGCTGTCGGATCGATCATGTACGCTATGACATGTACTCGCCCTGATGTGGCATTTGCTTTGAGCATGGTCAGTCGCTATCAGGGAAACCCAGGTAGAGCTCATTGGATAGCAGTTAAGAATATACTCAAGTATTTGCGAAGGACAAAGGACTGGGTCCTTGTGCTTGGTGGCAGTGATACTTTGAGAGTAGATGGTTACAGTGATGCCAGCTTTCAGACGGATAGAGATAACTTCCGTTCTCAGTCGGGCTGGGTGTTTTTACTGAATGGAGGAGCAGTTACTTGGAAGAGTTCCAAGCAAAATACGGTGGCTGATTCTACTTGTGAATCAGAGTACATAGCAGCAAGTGAAGCGTCGAAAGAAGCAGCTTGGTTGAGGAACTTCATCGGGGATCTCGGAGTTGTTCCAACCATCCAGGAGCCTATGGAACTGTTCTGCGATAATGAAGGAGCGGTTGCCTTGACAAAGGAACCGAGAGATCATGGTAAGACCAGACATATCGACAGAAAGTACCATTTCATCAGACATAGAGTTGAAGAAGGCCATCTTATAGTAAAGAGGGTGTCATCTGAAGATAACCCAGCAGATCCCCTCACAAAGGGTCTGAGTAGGGCTAAGCATATTCAGCATGCTCGGAGCATAGGACTGAAAGATGATATTAGTTTTAGTAGTTAGATTAGTTTTTGAAACTTGTAACAAAGTAAATGTAATTGACTTTTGGTGATTAAATAATAAAGTATTATTTATAAGTTTGGCTACTACCTTTTGTCAATTGTTTATTATTGTGTTTCATTTTTGCATGTTTTACTTCCTGAATAATGAGATTATTCAAACTCCACAGTCGCTCGTACTCTTGGAAGTAAGTAGTGAATTAAGACTGTCATGAATTGGATTGCAGATTGTCTAAGGATAGACATGGCAATAGAATTGCTGCAATGTTCATGAGTACTCAGAAATTGAGATTTGAGTATTGGATAAACCCTCGCTCAGAGTATACTTCATGGAATTCATCACGAGTAATACTGAGACGATAATATCTTATAATCTTGAAACGAAGATATATGAGTTGTAATTTACAAGTCGGTTATGCATTGGTGATACGAAAACGCATCAGTAACTTGGTGTTATAAAACGTATTGTCATGTATAATTTGATGAGTAAAAGATACAAGCATATGAGTCAACGTTTATTCGTTCCTTTTGCCCTAACAGGAAAAGCGATATCTGTGGGCCCCTCGATGATTTGGTGTTGACTTATGTGCTGGGCCCAGCCAGGACTAAATTGATGTGTTCGATTAGAAGTCCTACATCATCACAAATCAGGAATCGAGAAACATAGATTCTGGACAAAGAGATTGATTACATTCCATGTCTTTTGTCTGGGGATATCGAGCAGAACGAAGGGTTATATGATCACTTATCTTAGGACACGTAACTGACTGGGTCAGAGTTCGGCAGCAGCTTTTGGAAGCTACAATTTGCTGGTCAAATTTAGAAGGCATACTAGCAATTATAGTTACAGACTTATCCAAGTGGGAGACTGTTGGATTAGGTGTCTAAGCCCATAACTATAATTGGTATGTACTTGAATTGATAGCAGCACAGTCCTTTTGGGTTGCCCTCAACCTAGCAACTGGACAAGGAAATTATGAAAGGAGAGATATTAATTTATAAGATTAATAAATTAATATATATATATATATATATATATATATATATATATATATATAAATGATTTATTAATATGTTAATGGATTAATATATTAATTAGAAATCATTATGTTTAATTAATTGTTAGCCAGAAATTAATCAGAATTGATTTTGGGGTTAAAAGAATTAATTATAAGGTGCAGGGACTAGTTTGCAATTATCTAATAGTTGAGTGGAAGGCTCTAGAACCCCCTTGGAAGAGGGTGGACGAAATCTTTAGGGGAAACCCTAATAATTTCGTCCATAGGGGCTTGGATAAGGCCTTTGGATTTGCTTAGGCCCTAAGCAAAGGATAACTAGGGTTTCCCTTAAACCCTAGATCCCTCAGCTATATAAGGAGCCTCCTGGTTCATGTTTTTGGTCACTCTTTCTTTTGAAGAAACCCTAAGGCCGAGAGGTTTGTTTGTTTGTTTTTTATTTTTATTTATTTATTTTGCACAATTGGTCCATAAAAAGTCATTTTACTATTAAATAGGAGAATCTTCTAATTTAATTGGATTTCACCGGTTACCCTTAGTTTAAGTGGTTTTTTCAAAAATTTCAAAATTAAAAAAATTAAATCTTAATGTACATGGCTTTTCTTTTTCATTTCCTCTAAATTAAAACTCAGTCTTATACCAAATGACTTCTAGCCCAATGTTATCAACGGTATCAGATGTTGCTCTCCCTTTTTGAGATCAAAAGTTTAAGTCTCGTTGTGGACATAGGTGAAATTTGGTGTGTTAGGTTAGAAGTAGATTAGATTCGTCGGTCAAAAAAAAAATGTCACTCTTATGATCGTGAAGAACCACCGCCGCAACTGGTCCCAACACTAACCCTAGCCATTTTGAAAAATCATCTACGACATTTTGAGCTCATATGTCTGCCAACTAAAGCTTTGAAATCAACAAAAAACATGTATTCAAAGTGTCTCATCGATGGTGTTGAACTGGTAGCGTAAGGGTGTCGGTTTCATGGCAGGTCGGTGTCGTTTTCATCAGATGTCTTCGTTAGGGTTGTCGGTTTCATTGGAGGGCATCGTCGAAGGCATCATATGAAAATGAACTCTTTAATCTCAAATGAAGATGAAGTTTCGATGATGAATTCATTATTCTTGTTACTAATTTCATCTTCAAAACTCGAACCCATGAACCCGAAACAAG